GAAAGGTTGATAAACCTGTCATCCAAACTCCAAGCCCCAAGGCACGAAGCGTGCCCTATAAAGTATGTTTGGGTCTCAGATTACATCAGCTGCCAGAAATATGGCATGAACTCAATTAAACCGCTGACCTGCTGCAATTGACCTCCCATTCGTCTGTAATGACCAGGGTACACGCCTGTCAGGAGTTCACCAGCGACTGAAATAGCGGAAGAACGTCTCTTGCCTAATCGCTATTTGATATAGATATTGAATAGATATCAATAAGCTTGCTACGTTGAATGGTTAGATGAAGTTGCTTAGATCGAAAACTCGACTTCCTTTGGGAAAGTTTAAAGGAAAAAGTATGTTACATATTATCATTGCGCCAATTATTGAGATCGCCATGATAAAGGCAAAAACGTCGTATCACAGATGCCACATCATCAACACTTTGGAGAAAAATTCCAGTAAAACCAGGACAGATTCAGAACACGCCCGTGATCAGCACCAAGGACAGGTCCGAAATCAGCACCATGAACAGCACCATGATACGCACCGCTGACGGCAGTAAAATCAGCATCGGTGCTATAATTAGAGCCGGAAAAAGTGTTAACGCTGCCTGTAATGGTCCGGTATGTAGTATCACGTATGGCCAATTACTTATACAGTACTTTTGAAAGATTTGTTTAGTTGTTTGATTAATTTTGCTCAAATAAGCTTCGCAATTCTATGTTGCATTTCCCACTGCACCACATTTATTATAATCCTAGGTTTTATTTCTTCCCCACATGAAACGCATCTAACACAGGGTTAAAAAAGATCCATATCGTCTCCTACATTGCAGACGTTTTAATCCCTTTCTGGTTCTGGAGACGATGAGAGGAAAAGTGAGAGAGGTGGCGACTTTCCAAAGCGATACTAGTATTGACTTTTGAGTGCAGTTATGTATTGTTTCTTCGTTAGGGTCCATCGACGCATGTAAGAGCAAGATGGTGGAAACTGCCCCCAGTCCTAAAACTATGCCGTTGAAAAAGTTAGTTTGAACTATTTTCTCTTATACCTCCCTGCATGGACACGGGACTTTGCAGAAGTCTGTGGAACGTTAACCGTGATGACTCAAGAGAAGGCTTTGATTCTGAAGTGAACTTAATGAACTATAGCATCTGTTTTATTCAAGCCTTTTTCCATGGAGTTGATATGGGCGTTAATGCGGTGAGATTAACTAAAGGAGATGACTTTCGTTAGCAAATACACAAACCTGATGCAAAAGCGTTCTCATCTTAAGTTTAATCTTGATTGGTAGGATGCACAAACGGATTCTGATTGATACTTGGTATAGATGTGTTATCATGTAAAAGCCTTCTGGGGCAGGAAGGGCATTTCGTCGTGCGGTTGAGAGCGCTTGTAAGGAAATACCAATACTTTTACATAGGCATGTTTCTGAATTGTACCTGTCGTTAAAGACGAAAATGTTTTCACTTTCTTTCGTCCTTATTCTTATCTCGACTTTCTTACGATCTATTCCTCTTGTCCTTATCTCGACCTTCTAACGTTCTACGAGAACACCAACGCTAACAAGACAGCGGCATTGTTTTCAAGTCGTTCTATTTCGTTATTTTCTACTACACTGACTCACTAAAATGTAGTGATCATATCAAACAAGATAAGGCACAAACCTACCGATAGCGTGACTTGTGTAACTTGTACGATTCTTCCGCTCGCTTTGTCCTTGCCTTTTCGCCCCGATGGTTACCAGTGATCTCTCGCGCCTTGCTGACGGTACCGATGTGGGGAAAGCCGAGCCCGTGCGGCGCAGGTGCACCGGCCCCGCCCTCTCCTGGGTCCGGATATCATTCATGTGTAACGGCTTCATAGAGATGACGTCAAGCAATATGCAATATACACCAGGGCGCCATCTATAACGAAGGTTCAAGTAACTGTAATTAATAAAGGTTATGTGTCTCTGAATTGTAGTTGAAATACACGAAAGGTATCTTGTAAAGAAGCAGATGAGTTCTATCATTCATTTGAGCGCAGTAAACCGTGACTATTGTCTAGCGTAAGTACAACCTTTATATTTTACCGGAAGTTGATCCTACAGACTTGCGGATCACACGGGGTTCAGACGTCAACGACCTGGCGATCAAATGTTGATGATAAAAAAAATTGGTGATTAAAACTTGGGTGCACTGGCCGCTTCACCTGCCGGGCGTGACGTGTTTAATTACTTCCAGACAATGTTAGGTACATCATGTACACCCGCATCACTATTACTGATGTATGATGGTCCATTGTGAAAATCTAATGAGCATCGTTTGTGTACATTAATGCTGTCATGTTCATTCTACCCTTGATTTACTCCCCGTACCCCATTATGTTTCCCTTTACGCTGTGCACGGTATTTGCGCTTCATCTACTCACAATTTGCTAATGGTCATTGACCTGCGCCCTGATATGTACGTGTATGCTTTAATACGTCCCACGAGGTCTTTGTGACAAGTCGTAATTTCAGTGACATAACATGAAATATCATGTCATGCGCACAGACTATATTAACTTGTAAATCAAAAAGACGTGAACTAATGAAGGGTATGAGGATGTAAGAAATCATTCCAATTGACAAATCTGACGAGCTGTAATTTCAACTCCCCATCGACAGAAATGTTCTAATGTTTTATTTAAATGTTCTAACGATGACGGTGACTTTTCTTCATAGATGTTGCCAAGCTTAGCTGCATGTCATCTTCCTTTCATTTTGACTGTCGTCTTGACACTTCCTGATGTCAGGTGACTAATAATTGTTCTGCGGGTTTTTCTGAAGACTGAGGTTCAGCCTTGTGTGCACATTTGTGAATCTAACTCCCAATCCCAATGCTGTGCTTGGTAAGACCAAACTTTGATGTTGTTATATCTCAACAATAGCAGCAGATGTCGGTCCCCATTTCCATCTCCCAAAGGTAATCTGCCTCATCAATAATAATGGAGGAAAACTAAGTCAGCCATTTCTGTACCACTAACAACTAACAAGATCAATGCCGACCTTCAATGGCAAGTTGTCCGATGACAGAACTTTGTAGTCAACTGTGAAATTCAAAATCGATGGCCATGGCAGGGGGAGGGGTGAACCTGTTGCTTGGGTACCATCCGATTTGTAACGGCAAACCGAAAAATTGATTTTTTTTTCGGGTTTGCCATTACAAATCAGATGGCACCCAGGCAAGTGAACCTGCCTTGATTCTCTGTCTTGATTCTCTCTAGAGCATCCATATAATTCCATATAACAGCAAAAAATTAAACAAACACCATTATTGGGTCATTTTCATAATTTTATTCAGTTTGCCTACGATCATTTTAACTGCTGACATATTTGATGCCTTCAACTATGTGTTCGTCTATGTGGTTTCCTGTTTGAAGGAAGTCCTAGGTTGCAATGGTTATTAACATTTACCTTCTATTAAAATCTAAACCATGGAAGGCACAGTAATGTTTATTTGATTGTCATATAAAGCACTGCACATTCCAGTCTTAAGTATTACCAAATTACCAAAGCTCATTGGTATTACAAATGTTCAGGTAAAAGATAAGCCAGTAACAATTCTCCTCTTGTTCAAGAGTTTTAAAACCCACACACTTGCACCACACCATGCTACAGTTTCCTTTAAAAATTCTTGCAAAAAGAGATTCATTAAGTCAATTTCTGTATTGAAATGCTGCTATTACAGACAACACAAAGGCTGTACCATTCCTAGATTCCTTTAATGAGATGATTGCATGGACACCAAAGGTTGAGAGTTACTTGCATACCATGTGTATAAATTGGAAATGAGATAATCTTGTTTTTTCCCTTTTTTCCCAACAGAACAAAACAGAACAGAACAGAACAGGACAGAACAGGACAGAACAGGACAGAACAGGACAGAACAGGTCAGGACAGGACAAAGCAGAGCAGAAGCATACAGACTTGTGATTACTACAATTAACATAACTAGCACTGCAACATAACATTCATCTGTAGAAGTATCTATTATAGATCTAATTTTCAAAAGCTGATTACATAAACTAAAGGTATACACATAAATGATATGAATGTATGTTTCATAGAAAGATTTGCCATAGATTTCTCTTATGGCAGACTGTATGAGCAAACTAAATTGTCATCTTTTAATAACCATTTACATTACACTCGACATATACAACATATACAAAAAAGTCGTCACTTTCTTTACAGGTTTGTTGAAATTTCCATGGTTTTAATAGCTATAATAGCATCCAGTTATTGCACTTTTCTGTGTAGAAAGAAGAGATGCAGCCGTTTTTGTGACTCCCAACAACCAGTGCAACATATTCAGTGCTTTTCTGTATTCAAGTACATTCAAGTATTTAGGTGGCAAGAAAGTTGGGTGATATCAGGAATGATGATGACTATTAACAGAAGTATTACAATAATTATTAACATGCTGATAGAAACTTGGTAAATTGTATGTTTAAAGCTGATTTATAGTTTTTTTATATTAGACCACATGTATTTTGATTCACACAGAAGCATGTTGTACCTTCCCTTGTAGAAAGATTGTGTCTTTTCACCATTTAATATTGCTTACAGAAATCCCTTAACATTGTAGCACGTGAAGACAAATAATAGTTGTGAAAGCTGTTACATAAAAGACATTAACCATTCTGTAGAGAGGTTTTGTACATTTTATACTATAATTGTAGAGATAGTGCATTGCATCTTCGAGAATGTGTGTTATGTAATGTTTGATTGTTTGAGGCCCAAAGCAGACTCTGCACGTTCTTATTCTTGCTTAAAGCTCATTATGATATAAAATCCGGCCTGTGTCTTGGTTGCTGTTATCATGACTGTCGTATACATCACATCTTCATGGCCTGCGGAGGGTACATGTGCATCAGGAGGAACAGCGCGACATCGCGGGAAACCCAGTAGGACGTGTGCGACGTAATGGCTGAGATGTAGCGACTCTCCACACGACCTTCCCGCAACACATAGTCAATACGGTGCTCCAACTCTGAAGGGGGGAAAAGTCATTTGTAAGCATCTGCACAAAATTTGAAATAGCATGTGCAACAATTAGGTCCTTATTTTATGGAAATTTCAGTGCACACATAAATATCCTTCAATTCTGTAGTTATTCCAAATGATAGTTGTTGCATTTAACAATGTGGGAAACTTAATGAGCAACTGTGGGTAATGTGTGTTATTAGTATTGTGATGTAATAAAACCTTGTACACACAATGTAACATGTTTCTGGCATAGAGAAGGCTTACAAATGATTTATTGGAGATTGGATATTAGAGTGGAGCACCTTCAACTTAAGGTTTTGATTAATGAAAATAACATGGAAGGGATAAGAGGGTAGTATGTATCAATGTCCATATGACATCCCATATGATACATAGATACAGATACAATGTATCTATAAAAAAATCTTTTATGGACGTGACAATATGGTGCATGCTTAAAACTATTATGGGTTATTATGTGATTTTGATGGTGGTTTGATGACCACATGTGTTACAAGAAACAAACAGATAACTGTAAATCACAAGAACACTGCTAAAACAAAGTAAATGTCTTAGTTGTCAAATACATACATGTACCATTAAGACTCAGTGATGTGCATGTTCCAATGGCAGTATGTTGGTTCAAATGTTCATTCGAAGTGCAATTTTTCCAATTAAAGGGTGTTCAAGGGGGATTCCATGCATTTTGAAAATATCCATGAGTTGCACTTAAAGAGAAAGTAACACCACATGATTAACCTCCAGCCCTACCTGGCAGGGAGGGGTCCTCTGTTGGGAAGAGCAGATGCAGAGGAAGGAGAAACAGACTGAGTAAGATAAGATGTCTAATCTCAAAAAGATGCAAGCTACAATACATCTCTAAGAACGTAGCATCAGGCTTTTTTTCAAGATTTTTAAAGGACAGTTTCTTCATAATTGTCAGAAATAATGTCAGCAAACTCTGAGAGTGTTTGTCTTATATATCTTCTGTACCTGTGTCTGTGTCAGCCAGCACGTCATCGTCTGAGCAGAGGCACAGAGAGAAGTAGAGACAGAAACAGCATGTTAGAGACAGACACATCATCAATGTAGGAGTGCCAAGATGACTGAGTTATTTGTCCAGTACAAGTTTACAAGACTAAGCTGTGGAGAATATATTGAGGAAATTTTTCATTCTAATATAACGACCTCCATGTATCAGAATACCCTTCATCTCAATAACTCTCCTAACCATATCCCTCATCTAAAACGGCTCCCAAGGACAAATATGTGTAGCAAGTGAATCTGTGCCAGTTTCAACGACCAGCTGAATACATGCAAACGAAAGAACTCCACAATACCTGTCAGCGAATATCTGTATCCAGCCAGAGGAAAGGACACTATAGGGAAGATGTAGACAGGGAGACAAAATAGCAGCAAGCTGAAGTCTGTTATAGCATGTGTGCAGAGCATCATAAACCATCATGTGCATTTAATAAGGTTACTTGTTTAAATGAGAATGCTACTTGTCAGTAGCAGAACAGAAAGGAAGAATGGGTAGAACATCGGCTAGAATGATGAGCTACATCAAGGGGTCCTTGCCCAAACCAGGCCCTTTTAAGACAAGCAAGGCTGTGGTGATATGATATTAGTCATTCAACCAGCTATTGCTACAGCGTGGTGGATCCGCACAGACGCATGTATTGCGTTCATGGCCAGTTTGTAAAAAAAGGCTCCTAAACAGACCAGCCATTTGTTAGATATGACCTCTGCATGGCCCCTAACCAAGGCCGGCTCCACCCCCACCCCCAGCACCAGCTGTTCCCACCTTTATGGTCCACATATCAGTAATGGAGTGAGATTGCCTTCCGATTGGAACACACATTATGTTTTTATGCCACGTAAATCGAACCACCATAAAAGGACCACTGGGCATGCAGTATTTATGTTCCATAACTGCTGCTAAGATGTGTGTGCCTGCATGACTTTCAATTTATGATAAGTTATTCTGATATTGTTACACTTGGTAACTAGATTCTTGAATAACTAAAACATGATTAAAATCCTGATGTCATGCTCACACACACCTGTGCTGTCTACGATGTCCATACTGCTGAAGGCCACAGTCGGCCCTGACTCCAGCTCTCCCTCCAGCAGCACCTGCAGCTCTTTAGGAGTGTCTGACCTACCACTCCACTTGGACCACAGGCTCAAGGCACCTGCACAGCACAGACAAGCAAACACGCTGTCTTAAGTCTTGAACAATTGACATGAAAGGCCATCATCAGCATGATAATTCAAGTTAATAATATACTCTAGTTTATTATCTTCTTTGGGTCTGATTCACAATTATATACATTGTAGTTCTTCTTCTTTGACATTGTACTACCTTGTAGATATCATCATAGCAAATACTAGCCCTAGCATATACTTATAATGTGCAATTTAACAAATAATCATATGACCATGAGATTAGTACTTACCTTGTACCAGTGTAGACTCTTGATCTTTCTTCCCATCAGCCATCTCAGCCCCATGTAATGGTGACATTGGTTCCAGAGGTGTGGAACTGCCACTGCCTGATCCATTACCATTTTCCTGCCCTGCAGATGCACCTAAATCATCAAACAGATTCAATATCACTGAGACATTCAGTTACTATCTTACTTAACTTAGTTTTCTGGTAACTTCAACACTTGTTCTACTCTTATTTTGGTACATGTACAACTATGATCCTTGACCCTTACCACAGTTTTCATGCAGAATCTTTGCAGTTTCTCTTAGCCTTTGTCAGGATATTATCAAAATCATATCCAGTTGCTTGAGTAACTATCTTATTACCTGGATGTCTAACCTTCACTGCCATACTATTCCTTATAAGTCAATGTCTGCCTCTTAGTTGGTACCTGGTGGGTAGTGACTACTGATTCAGAAGCAGATGTAAACCAACCATGGTGCAGAGTCACCATTTTCCAATTGATCACATTAAACTTCCATAACCTTGTCCCTGTTGCCTAACCCCATAACCAATACCACTTTGGTGCCAACAGGGAGAAGGATAAGGTCATCTGTCCTGACATGAGCAATTGAGTCAGATATCCTGAAGAAGACCAGTCAGGTCCGGTCAAAAAGATGATAAATTCATTCTTGCAATAGCAAATGCCCAAGTTATGCACTATATGGACCACTTACTGACCTTTATCGACCAGTTGCTGTTCTTTGGCGTTCTTGAAGGCCACAGGTTTGATGTCACAGTACAGTGGGAGGGCAGACTGGCTGTGGTTGTGGATGAGTTGTGGCTGGATGCCGGCGTAATGTCTGAGGATGAGGGGCTCGATCCTGTAAGCCTGGTCATAATTGGAAAAGGAATCGTTACACAGACTGCATCTGAACTATGTCCCAAAACTGCTCTACTGTATTGTCTCTCTCTTATAAAGCTTTTCAATCTAACAATTTTCCATCTGGGTACAGAAGAATATACCATTTTCAGAAATGGCTGGAAGAGAAAGCAGGTTTTGTCCTCTAGGCATTTTCCATAACAAAATCCAAATTTAAACTTGGTGCCAAAAAGCTACCTCAAGAGTAGAGAATTTTCAGAGGTAGTACCTACCACTGGGTCTGCTGGATGGAAGATGTTAAAGAGCCTCTTGCAGAGGTTTGCAGGTATGATGTGCTCCAGAGTGCCAACCCCCTGAGCACGGACCCCCCTCAGACACAGGAACACAGCCAGGGGGGAGCCTAGGCAAAAAAAGTTCTCCACCTGGAATAAATGGGAGACAGTGTTATTAACAGCTTCAGGCTACAATAAGCATATAATTTATCATGTGATGACCTACTTTTTTAATATCAAGTCTTGTATCACTGAGTGAGAGGGAAAGAATTAGGTCATCTGGCAATTTCTACAGCTTTGGGACACACAGATAATTTAATTTCATATGAATTTTGATATACATAATGTATCATTAATGATGGTTTATGATGACCAATCAGTTCTAGGCAACATGTGAGCAAAAGGCCAGAAATTTGACACAATCATGTACCTAAACTTTGCTAAGTTAACATATGCTTCACTTTCAAAACATGAGGTAAGGTCACTGATCAAAGCTCATTAAAATAAGTCAACCATTTATATATGAACAATTACTGTTAGTAGCAACCTTCGCCCAGCAAGAGTCAACATATTGTTACTGTATTTTCTGTATACTACTGCAAAGTTGAAAGAAGGAAAATACCACATCACAATCAAATACATACAGCTATTGTATGCTATATTACTACATCCCACTTCCAAACAGAATGATTAATTAAATTAAACTGAGCTATATAGTAGGAAAAATGACTATTATAGTACAAAAATGTTTTATTTTCAGGCCTGTAAAAATCAGTTGATACAGTAACCACATTCCTACCAGTATCTAAACATTGAAGTAGCATACACTTCACTAAGATGGCACCCAAAGCTGTAGTGCTTATATCATTCCTTCTGTTGGTAGATGTCAGCTATGAAGCTGTCCCTAAAGTGGACAGGAACAGGCTGAGGGAGACAGGGGAAGCTGATCCAACAGCCTCTGTAAGTACCTGAGTGTAATCCAAGGTATTTTAAGTGTTTTCTCTTTAGTGTTTTGTCATGGCAGTTATGCTTTATAACAAAGAAACAAAATAAAGGTTGCAAACTGACAGGGAATGGGCAGATGGGTATTACCAGCACAGGATTTCTAAGATAGGCAAAGAATGAAATATCCATGAACAGCCGATACATGTAAAAGTGTGTGTATGTGTGTGTGTGTACAATGTATGAATAATCTCGCGAAAAAGATTGACTAATTGTACCAGCTATAGGTTGTGTAGAAGTCCTGTTACTTCATAGTCGATGACTGACACACTTTTTCAACACTGTCACCCTGAAATGACCCAGTGCACGTCGACATGCTCTGCCGAGGCCTTGGAAAACCTGCTGCACACACAGGGCCACCTGGAGACAGCCGTACAGGAGCTACAGGACAAGACTGTTGATCTACAGGTCCAAGTGAATGAACTAAATCAGAATGAGCAGAGTGCTGTAAGTGTTGGGATACAACAGATGGGATAATTATGTACACATGTATACATACTAAAAGTTCTTCAGAATCTTTGCATTCCTCAGGAACTTGGTCTCATGAAAAGCTTCGAGTCTAATAAAAAGCTTTAACTATATACATGCCAAGCCATGTCTATTTTCCAAATTAAAAGTACCAAATATTGTTACACACAACTTAACATCATGTGTACCACCATAGCCAATCAAATCATCACCAACTTTTGAGTTACAGGCCTTGAATTGAATAATAAAATCAGTCCTTGACACTTGAAAAGTTAAATATCATGTGCTTCCAGTATCTTGCTGAACAGGACCTGAGGGCAGCATTGGCTACCCTTCAGACTACTGTCACCCACCAGGATGCCCTGATGGAACAGCAAGACAGCACCATTCAACAGCAGGCAGCATCTTTACAGCAGCTCCAGGGAACCATACAGCAACAAGCTGCCCATATACAACAGCAGTACAACACCATTACAGAGATGCAGGCTCTCCTGACACAACTGGCCAGTAAGAATCCATTAACAGCTCGGTTTTAGTAGTTTTTCCTGCATTTTCCCCAATGAATGTCCCTAAAATAAAAATGTATATAATTTAAAATGAAACAAGAGTTCCACGATCTCATACCTTCGCCAAATGATGTTAACCCTTGGGGTTGACGAATTATACAATTTTAATAGTTGATTTCGCAAATAAGAGCGTCATTTGCATGGATTACATCAGTTGCTCATATTCTCCACCCAATGGCAGCCTTATCTTAACAAAATAGGCTATTCTAGTACTTCCTCATAAATTATGCAAATGAGGTCATAATGTGAATAAATTATCTTCATTGATGTTCACCTTCACTTAACTTCCAAATGCGGCAAGTATGAAATTCCCAGCAATTACAAGTATGAAATCATAACAATTTCCCATTAATTATGCAAATTAGGTCTTTATTTACATAATCAATAACCTCTGATGTTTTTCTCGTTCTCAATTACATGTCACAAGTATTTCATAGTCCTATTATCGAACAAAGCAGATTTATAGAATTTCCTCATTAATTATGCAAATTAGCTCATGATTTGCATAATTGTCATCTGATTATGTGAAGCATCACTTCAGCTACCCACATACCAAAAATCATGACAATCCGTCAACCGGTTCTTGGGTAATGCACCTTCGGAGATTTTTCAAGAAACGCACCTGCAGTTCCAGAACAAGCTGCTAGGGGGCCCAAACTCATGTCACTTCTTCCCTACCCCAAGAGCTATCTACCAACCAAAGTTCGTGACCCTAGTACCTCTAGATCGCGAGATATCAAAACCGGAAGTTCTGCTGCAGTACCAACAAAAGTCGCTAGGGGGCCCAAAATCTAATCATTTCTAGGTCTCATCAAGACCTACCCACATACCAAGTTTCATGACAATACATATAAAGCTTCTTGAGTTATGCTGTTCACAGACAAACAAACAGACAGACAAACAGACAGACAAACAGACGGACAAACGCTACTGAAAACATAACCTTCTTGGCGAAGGTAATAAAGTGTATTGCACTAGCAGAAGTTCAATATGGCCCATGTAAAATTACTATGACCAATCTATTCAACAGTAATTGGCTCTTGTGAATGTGTGTACACATGTTGGGTGACATGGAACAAGGATAAGACAGTTACATTACTTGTTAGTAACAATGAGGAGAGGAGAGAAAGGATAAATGTTACGTCAAGGACATATCCTTGGTTACATGCATGTACATGTACATGTATAATCTTGATACATTTTGAAATGCATACTGACCCTAAGATGCATACTGACCCTATTATATAATTCATATACAGTGTATTGGGTCTATATAATTTCTATCATGTTATTAGATGTGGTTAATCATCACAGGAGTGTATTCTGAAAATATATTTTGAGGTTATTTTGGTTCTTACTTCTCAGACAAAGTGAACGGCCCCCGTGACTGCCTGGAGCTGCTAAGTACTGGCCACACCACCAGTGGAGTCTACACCATCTACCCAGATGGAGGGGGGAAGAGCCCTGTCCATGTGTACTGTGACATGGACACCGATGGGGGCGGATGGACGGTACTTACACAAGTTACTTCAGATTGGAAGTCAAACTGCTGACTGAATGGTATATCAGATTCTGTACAGTATTTGATTTTAAGGATGACTTCTTCCAGATACAATTGTACTACATATGATATAATAGCCACAAAACAGAATCAGACTTTTCCATCTTAGAGAATGCTATATTCAATTGGCTGTTCATTGTACTGATATCTATTTCAGGTCTTCCAAAAGCGACAGGATGGATCAGTGGATTTCTACCTGAACTGGCAGGCATATAAGACAGGGTTCGGAGACCTGAGGGGAGAGTTCTGGCTAGGTACAGAGTCATCTGTCCTTTATCCAGCTTTTTCTTCTGCACTTCCATACAATTTGTACTTCATCATACAAAGGTGATACATGTGTATATCACAAACATCCTCAAATGATTGAATGTAAAATACATACAAGCAAGTCTTTATTTCATAATAGATTATATAATAGCTAATATCAAAGTTACAGCTATGACCTGACATGTGTTTCGACCACAAACCTTGCAACTTAACTCAGCCACAAGTGATGACTTGTGGTTGAGTCTAAAAGTCCCTGACACTAACTCTATCTTTTAGTTGGAAATGTCTACTTTGTCGTTGTATTCTTCAATACCACAGGCAATGACAACCTCCACCGACTGACATCCCAGGGCATGTATGAGCTGAGGGTGGATCTGGAGGACTTTGACAACAACGCAACCTTTGCAGAGTACAGCCTGTTCAGGGTTGAGGATGAGATGCACAAGTACAAGCTAACCATTCAGGGATACTCTGGAACTGCAGGTAAGTGACCAATTATCCTTTCACAGATTAATAGAGATACATGTTTGGGATTTTCAAGACCTCTGCATATACAAAACTGCAAAATTAATTCAGATTGGAGTCTTGTCCCTCACAAGCATAAAATAACTAGTTACAATGATATGAGCAATTGACATGTGTAACTGATTTTAGATGGACAGACTGAGACTTTATAACCCACAGGATACTTTAATCTGTTGTTCTGGTACAGGTGATGGCATGGCCAACCACAACAACATGTACTTCTCCACCAAGGACAGAGACAACGAGCAGCATGGTTACGACTGTGCTGACAGGTACCAGGGAGCATGGTGGTACGGAGACCGCATCTGTCACAGGTCCAACCTGAATGGGCAGTACCACGCTGGTGCCCACCAGTCCTTTGCTGATGGAATCAACTGGCAGCCGTGGTTGGGAAATAACTACTCTCTGAAGCATACAGAGATGAAGATCAGGCCAAACTAGATACATTGTTTGTATCATCACTAATGGATTCACCACCAAAATAGTCTTGTTGCATCAAGGAGGTTATAAGGGGCACCTCTTTGGTTGAATTAAATGTTCTAAGCTTGCATTTAAAACATGAAAAATGTTTTACAGAAAAAATTAGTGAAAACTAGAAAACCACATACACCAAACCACTTTCTAACAGACTTCGCAGAATTATGCTTCATCCAATCCCTGGGTCAATGGTGCTGTTTGAAAACAAAACAATAGGCCAAACTGTGAATAATCTAACTTTCATATGTGTCCACAGCACCACATTTTGCAAGAAGAAGCAAAAAAAAACTCTTACCATCATGAGTATGATATGAGTATGGTAAGACATTGGAAATAAATGAATGGCAATGCTGTATTGCTGTTGCAGACAGAAACTGTAGTACTGACAATGCACTTTTTCCCAAGTCATTCAAATGCATTTTGCAGTAATACAACAGGACGATAGGAGGAGCATTTAATTGCTTATTTGTATCTCCACTGTTGCAACACCTTTATTATGAAATGTATATGATATGCGTTATTATATATGTTATACATGTATATGTGTGCATGCAATCATGCACGCAACATGTGCATGTAATTGTGCACACAATCATGCACACACATTTACCACAAACACACCTAGAGGCACGTGTATGTGCACACACACACAACACACACATCCCACACCCTACACCTTCCCCCACACACACCCCTACCCACATACACAAACCCAAAACTGCAGTCACACATGCACATAATCCTGTCATACATATATAAACAAAATGTAATATTATCATAGCATATCATAAAGGTAAAAAAAGTTCTGTGCTTTTAGTAACACTGATTTGTCTTGTATTGTTGGCAGTTGTTAGGAGCAACATACATTTAACATGTTCAGGAATACATGTGCATGCCCACGTGAAATAATAAGGTCAGGCGGTTACACCAATTACACAACCAATCCCTGCTTTCCTGAATACCTTGGTTGCTTTCCCTAATGCAACAACTGCCATGGTATCCAGACCATAAGTGTGTCATTTGTTTGTAGCTACCTTTGTTTGTCACATGCTGCTACATGTGCTTGTAAAGTTTACACAAGTTTGTGTGCTGACTCCTACATTTACCAGAAACGACTAGATCTCCTTGGTAACTATCTGAGTTTTGTCTGTTGAATACGGGAAAAATAGCCCTCAATGGGAGGCATAAAGTCTTTGTTGACCTTTTAAATAATCATACAGTTAGCAGCTGGCTGAAGATCATTTAACCATCATATTTCAGTATTTTTCCTGGCAGGAAACAGTGTCTTAAACATCAAGTTACACATGTGTGATACACCTATATAATACAGGACAGCTTTACAATGGTAAAACTGTTTATCAAAGCTGTCAGAAAGGTCTGTTATCGTAGTGCATTAAAACGTATATTAAACACTTTGAATGTGTTAGTATAGCACTGTCAAGTAGCTTAGTTGTCATTTGTAAAGTTGCAACAGTTTATTTAATTGTTCCTTCTGGAATCCAATTTATAAAGGAATAGTATTACCCAGAGATAGATGTTTTTTTATCAATCTGCTATGCGTATGATATGATGTAATTATGCCACACGAAATGTGAAACGTAGAACAAAACTGTCATTTTGCTGAGTAATCGACTTCGAAAATATTGCCCATTTGTCAATTAGGCATTGTACTAAGCACATGGCATGACTAGGAGGCAACACACCTGGCAGCATACCACCGACTCCACCTCCCCAGGCATAAGGGCCAGGATTAAGTACGATAAAGCACAACAGGAGACTTTAGACTGATCCATAACAAGTCTCAGGTCCTTCACCCTCCAAAACAGCTTATCAAGCTAAAGTAAAATGAAATCTCTTGGAACTGTCTGCAATGTTTGCAAACAGTGATTAATGACCCACTCATCTATTCATATCCACTGATTGTTGAGTGTTTGTTTGAAAAAGATGTTTGCCCATCAAACATCATAGTCAGCATTTCTTTCTTTGGCTACCAACAGTCCAGAAAAATATCAATCATCAGTCTAGTTAATGTCAAGTTTAAGCCTCAGTCTAGCTCAAGGAAAAGTTTCATAATATTATGCTTTTACATCGATTTCTGTCATATTGTACTTCATAGTTTTCAAATTTTGCAAACTAACACACTTGGCTTTTCAAATTTCAAGTGGGCAATATCACTCACCATTATCATTGTCCTCCAGACAACCGGAAAACTCTTCAAGTAATGTTTATGTTAGCTGTCAGACAAGTTTGTCCTTTCTGTGATTTATCTAAATAGAACATCAACATTGCTTGGCATGAAGACTGTTGTTATGGAGCCTGATCTTGTTATCCATCAACATATGCCTTTCTGGGCTTTTTACTGTTCCTAACAACAGCCGATGTCTTGTGACTGACCACATGGTGTATCCTTTAAATACGCCACGTTTGATCCCAGTGCCCACTTCTGACAGAAAGCACCATGAGGGGTCTGGTGGTTCTGGCGTTCATCGCACTGCTGCACCAAGGAGGGGCAGTGAGTGACAAGAAGCTTGTTGCAAAACTGCCTGAGAATGGCCGTTGGGGTTCCTGGAATTCTAATTCCGGTGAATCAGACAGCAATAACAACGAGGCAGGAACATCAACCTGGGGGAACTTGTTGCAGTCCATGTCAGGGTCGAGATGTGAGGCATCCTGTGAGACCTTGGAGGAGATGCAGTCCTACATGACCAACAACGTAAGGACTACTTGTATGAAATACATTTTATCTCTTAGACTAGTTGTTGCTTTATGTATTAGTACTGACAATTGTACTAACACTTGTTTCTCCTCTTCTAGAAATGATCACAATATCTAGAAGGTCACCTAAAATTGCCATGGGGTTAATCTTATTCTACTTGTCTATCTGTACTTGTTAAATCTACAGTCACATTGGACAGGGCTCCGGAAACTGAAAACATTGGCCGATCCTAAAAATTGTAGGGGAGCTGGCCATGATCAAGTGAAAGAACACTTCTGGCAGTTTTTACTGATGTACGTGCGCACAAAACTTTAGCAGATCAAAGGAGACCACTGAAATGTAGATTGCCGCTGTGTTGACATTCTATTTATCAGGTCAAATTTCCACTAAACAAAGTCTTTGTAAAACTAAAATTCAATGTCTGATGTATATGGCAGTTATGTGCACCTACTCACATGACCACTCCACCTATGAGCTGTTGTCAATGTGATACCTAAGAACAATTGGGTGTTGGAAGTTTGACTTCAAATACCAGGATGGCATGAGGGGTCTGTTGTTCCTGAACTGCATGAGCAAGTTGTTTTCAATGGTCAATTTCAAAGTGAATTCATGTATGACACACATTTTTGTGTGGATTTAGTACCCTCTTTCTGTACTAATATACAATTTGATACTGGTCTACACTTAGGGATTACTCTTACTATCAACCTTCACTTTGCAAGTACAGTGCACATCTTGGCTGCCCTTAAAGGCCTCATAATTTTCAGTGGAAAGTTAAAGAAAGTTGTTTGAACAGTTGCAGGCCCAGACAGACCAGACCACCCAAATCGGGGCTCTTCAGGCGACCGTCAGCAGCCAGGACAGCATCATCCAGCAGCAGGCTGCAGCCTTAGCACAACTGCGAGTCTCGCTTCAGCGGCTCACCAGCTCCTTTAACCAACTGGAAGGAACTGTGCAGCAGCAAGCCGTCAGTCTGCAGCAACAAATCACCACTTATGGGCAACAAGCCACCAGCTTGCAGCAACAGGCTGCCATCATTCAAGAACAAGCCAGCACCATCCAGCAACTGCAAGGTAGGTCTTTATACTAGAAAAAACACCATTCTTCCTCTACAGTAACTCTACTTTTGCACCCTTTTCACCAGAATCATTACATGAGTGTACTCAGAAAACATGTTTCTTCATTCTCAGATATCCTGAATGCTCCCCGTGACTGCCTGGACCTGTACAACACCGGTCACAACACCAGTGGAGTCTACCAGATCTACCCAGGCGGGAAGGATCCCTTCCCTGTCTACTGTGACATGGACACTGATGGCGGCGGATGGACGGTACTAAAACTATCAAACTGTATACTAGTACTAGAATATATGATCCCCAATGACAGAGAAACTGAAAACAAGCATATTTTCATTTTTTTCTACAAAGGGGTAGTAAGGACCTTCAGCATCCTGTCTAGAGTAATGATAAATAGGCCATTTACTAGTCTACTTGTAAGTGAACCCAATATTCTTCACTGCTACTCAAAACCATTGGAAAGCGTACATTATGATTTACAATCTAGGATTAAAAAACTGACTAAATCAAGTTAGCATGTTGTCTATTAGCATTGGGGCCTCTTTTGACTAGGTTTCATACAAACTAGGTATTAATTACAACAAAATCCTTTGACATCAAACCAAGCAATCTACATCTGTTAACTTGGGTTTTTGTCTGATGCAGGTCTTCCAAAGGCGCCATGATGGTTCAGTGAGTTTCTCCTTGGGCTGGCAGGACTACAAGACAGGCTTTGGAGACATCAAGTCAGAGTTCTGGCTAGGTAAGTATTATAATTGCTTTTGACATTAGGCTTCTGATGAGTGATTTACTAAGTGTACTTCACTAAGAAGAAAATCTATGTTAAGGTACCCCCTGGACAAATTTAGAATTCGTATAATTTGACACGTTATATGCTTCCTGTCACAGCATTTATTTCCTCACCCCAACCTTGAGGCTACAATGCTATCCCTTTTGATAAAGGAATATGAATCATTTTACAGGCAATGACAATCTGGCTAGACTGACAGGCCAGGATGTGTACGAGCTGAGGGTCGACCTGGAGGACTTCGAGGGAAACTCTGCCTACGCCAAATACAGCACCTTCAGGGTGGAAGATGAACTTGAGCAGTACAAACTGACTGTTGATGGATACTCGGGAAATGCAGGTAACGTTATGCTTGGTCCAGTATCACAGATTTTATCAGTGTTATAGCAATCCATTTGATACATAATCTTCTCTCTGTTGCATTGGGTCACAAGACAGCAGATGATTTTATATACTTAATCTATTAGTACATGTTCTTGAATCTTATTTGATGATAACATTACCCCCCAATAACAAATTCTTATCAATAATTCATTCTCTTTGCTACTGTACTGAAGCAAAAAATGCACTTAAACTTTGGAGTGGGCCAACAAACTTGACTGTCTTAACTTATGCCCAAGTGGACCTGTTCTTTTCAGGGGACGACATGACATGGAGCTCCACCGCATTCTTCTCCACCATCGACACCAGCAACTACGTCCATCAGGGCATTTGTGACCTTGGCAACAAGGGCGGCTGGTGGTACGGCAGCTGTCGTGACCCCAACCTGAACGGCCAGTACCTCAGTGGACCACAACAGTCTAACGGAGATGGGGTGAACTGGGACAGTTGGAAAGGAGACCGCTACTCTCTCAAACACACTGAGATGAAGATCAGGCCTACCTAAAGTCATACCAACTTGTTGTAATGCTTTTGGCTATACTGGGCCGACTTTTAACTTAGACAAGGCAACCTGTCCAACCTATCATCAATTTGTCATCCTCTAAAGAAAACCTCCAAACTTTGGTAAATCTAAATTACCAAAATGAACTTACAGCCTTCATGCTTGTTGCTATACCTATTCTGATATCTGTTTTAATCTTGTTGTGGTGTAGCAGGCTCAACATTCTTCACACATTTATTTCAGTGACACTTCAAATTACGCTTCAAAATGTTATTTTAGTTGTTGTGTAATGGTATTAATCAAGTGATTACAGTCAATTTACCAGTAAAGATACCTTGCAATTCTTTAACTTAATAGAATTGGATCCTGAGACCCAAAATCTTGAGCCTTAAAATACAACAATGTCATTTTGCTGAGAAATGGATTTTGAAATAGTTGCCCATAAGGGTATCAAAGAGAAATAAAAACTGCTTGTGTGTGTGTTCAGCACAATTGAAGACTTCTGTCTTATAATATGCATCATGTGTCCTTCATCTAACATAATAGCTCACCTGCTAGTTACTGTAAACACCAAATATTATGTAACGTTACATGGGAGGAAATATATATTACATGATGGGAACAACACATAGGAGGAAATATACATAATGTGAGCAACAAATGGGAATACATGTATATATTACATAATATGAACAACACATGGGGGGAAACATAAGTTCCATATATGAACAACACATGGGAGGAAATATTTAGTTCTTCTGACAAAAATAATGAATGTTATGTTACTTTTCCTCTTCCTTTTCCTGTTCCATATATCTATAAAAATGTACCTGTACTAAAGATGTACATGTAATAAAGAGAGAGTGAGTGCTTGACAGACGAAGCACTATATCTCTAGTATACCATGTAAACATGCTTAACAACAATTTAAAGAAATAAGTTGCAAGAGCTTTTTCACCAAACTTCATCAGTCACCATTAATAAGAATGTCTGCATCTATTTAGTATAAAGCTGGTCAATTTTGTTGAACAAGACTTTGAATGTTGTTGTAGCTGTTAATTCTTGCAATCATTGTCAGCTACAATAACTCATATTATTTGGGCTAGAATATGCAGTTAAGTAAGTTTTACCTTTGTGCAGAATCTTAGCCTTGAGCTGGAAGATGATACTCATTTTCCTTCCCATTTTCCAATTATTTTGCTCCAAAGGTATAATAATTATGTCATGCAACAGCATGGGTATCCTGTTGTTGCCACAAAGAAGATGATGTGCTTATTGCCATGAATATTCATGTAATACTGATGGTTGTATATTGTACCTCTCAGGGAAACATAGGAGGGAGATATGATAATGACAGGCCCACTGGTCTATGCGTGGTGCCCCAAAGTTACAAAAACATCTCATCAAGCTAAAACCAGTTTTAGCTTGATGAAAGCTGTCTGAAAGGTTTGTCAACTTAGTGATTAATTACACTAACCTACATTACAGAGTGATAACTGTTCTCTACAAAACAACCTCACAACTTGCAATGAAGTGTTTACCAAGGCTTTCAGAAAAGTTTGTCAACCGAACAATGTTGTCAGGGTATGTAAAACTATGTCCGGAAAGGGGAGATAACATACAAACTATATTTGATTTTGTTACGTAAAAACTTTTGTTACGTAAAAACCAGTAGCCATTGAAAGCCAGACAATATTGACCAATCCAGAGTCACTATTTGATATTGCTTCTGCAGCTGTAATCAATATCAATTGCCAGCCAACAAGCATGCAGTCTAGCATGTGGTTATCAAAATAACTGCATATTTGCTCATACCAATACAATCATAGCAACGTGGGATTTTAAAGACCTTTTAGCTAGCTTTTGGTTTTAAAAAATCTACAGGGAAAATACTTATAATGACCTGAATATTCCCCAGTATAATAAAGATGTTAATGGTCCTCCTTTTCAACAGTTTATATTGTTCTTGTCAGTTCCTACAACTACCAAATGAAACATTGAGCGAGCAAACCCTTTTTGCAATGTCAAGGACTAAGTACCGGTAGTCCTTAATGGACTTAGCCCTCTTGTCAGTGTTACAGCACCACACAATTATGTGAGCACATCACCTGATCAGCGGGGGGTGGATGTGTTCTTCAGTCAACAATGGGCCTTATAAATAACCCGATTTGGTCTCAGCACCCATTTCCGATCGACCTGAAGCACCATGAAGGGGGTGGTAGTGGTTCTGGCGCTTGTCTCGCTGCTGCATCAAGGTGCACTTGGTGCACAAGGAGGTAATGGACACCACAATCAGGTGTCTACCACGACAACATGTGACGTGTCCTGTCAAGCCCTGACTGACATGCAGTCCTTCATGACCACTGCTGTAAGTACTGATCGGTATAGTGTAAGATCATTAGAAATTCTTTCTTAAAACCAGCGTAGCATCAATTGGTGGCCTAGAGAGAAAATAGAAGAATTGCCTGGTTTGTTATTTATTCATGATCAGTAGGGTTAGAATCTAAAGGCTCTGGGTTCTGCCCTTGAGAAATTCCCTTTTCAGTTTCAGACACTTGTTTCCTCACTCAACTCAGTGAAAATGAGTACCTAGCTTCAGTCAGAGATGTCTTCTTGGGTGGGATGTAAAGTCGAAGGTCCCATGATTGAAGAGATACCTAATCTCTAGCATGTTGAAGATCCCACTACACTTCACAATGAGGGGAAACTGCAAAGTAACTGTGTCAACCTGCATCTGATCATGACTCTCTCAAAGTCAAATGAGTAATAAAATAAATTAAAAAATACAGTTCATCAAATTTTTGTCTGTATCTGTATGTTTGATACGTGTGGCAGCCAAAAATTGCCACCAGTTATCATTACTTTTAACGCAACTTTTGTCACCTCTACATATCATTGAACAAGAAGGACATTGCTTTGACACAAACATTCAGTGGCTAGGTGATTGAGTCCTGCATAATGCATTGGGAACTTTTCGAATTTAGCGTAGAGCATAACAGGACGGTGCCCTAAGACTGGACGCTTTTCCACGTGCTCGAACTCACAGCACTCTATCGCTAGTTGTCAGGGAGTGGTCAGGTACATGTACTTGGATAAGAAATTAATTCATACTATTCATGAGCCCTTCACGCTCCGCGTTACAAGCAACAAACTCGTGAGACGTTTTCGTGAATGTACTTTCGTGAATGCGGCTACGCTAGACAGTGTACCCTAACTTTCGACGCCTTTGTAATTTTGCTCTCTTCAGGCGTTGATGATGAAATTTCGTAAACAAAACTAAGAATAGGATTTTATGATATTTTAGCTTCCTTTTGACAGAAAAATTGCAATTCTGTGTACTTATCGTCTAATGAGAGGAGCGTTGTATCGAACGCAATCCGTCCGTGTTTCCACTGAAAACCCGGCTTATGCAATCAATGCGGAAATGTAGACGACAGTGGTCTTGATATTGTTTTTCACGGGTCGGTTTTCTACGAAACAAATCCTCAGAAACCCTCATATTTACTGTTTTGTAAAGCTTTATTCCGTGTTTATGTGGAAGTTGTGTCAAATCTTGGTACAGGTTGTCTATTTCTGGGCATTAGCCATCGCAATGAAGTGACCCTCTTTAAAGAGGCATTGTTATGATTGGTGAAATTGCCTGATATTCTCTTTTTCGACAAAATGATAAATAAATATATAGAACTATACTTTGCATGCAAATAACAGCTGTATAAATTGACTACTAGTATGTTTATTTGTAAAGTTTGTGGCAACAAACATGGCATATTTTTGCATAATAAGATCAGTAATAAATCTGTCCAAAGTTAGGGCACGTCTGAAGTTAGGGCACCCGCATTAGAGAAGCTTCCTCAATTCAGCATAATACGTAGCCAGCTCTCAGAATTTAGTATACAACATTGTTGGATCAAAGTAGAACCTCTTAGAATTGCCTGCTTAATTTTTGGTAGGATTTCAATTTGAATCCTAATGGGATTATCTAGGATAGTACAGTTTTGGGCCTGAAACTCTGGGAGTTAATTTGGGTCGAGTGGGATTACGGTGAAGAAAGGATTGCCTAGTGTGGCTGCGTGCGTACGAGTGCAGAGTGCTTCTGATGCTGGACATTTGCTATATAACTGAAGACAGTTGGAACCAATTCTTTATATGTGACCTATCCAGATTGTTGAAGATTTTTCAAACTGTTGCTTTTGCATTTGGAACATAATGTTAACATTACATTCTAATGTTGATACTAGTATATATTTCTCTACTCCCCTCTTGACCTTACTACAGTTTTTATCTTTTTATTCTGATGTTCTGTCTACTACTAGTAAGATGTTTTGGGTATTGTTGATGACTTGTTCTCCATGCCACATGTGGAGACTGTAACAGTCACATCAAAAGAATTTTGATGAGTTTATGTTAACAAAACACATTAAAACAGCCACAGGCCCAGACAGACCAGACCACCCAAATCGGGGCTCTTCAGGCGACCGTCAGCAGCCAGGACAGCACCATCCAGCAGCAGGCTGCAGCCTTAGCACAACTGGAGGGAACTCTGCAGCAACAGGAAGCCACTGACCAGCAACTGGCAAGCAGCCTACAGCAACAGGAAACCACCATTCAACAACAGGCCAACAGCCTACAGCAACTGGAAGCTACCAACCAGCAACAGGACAGCACCATCCAACAACAAGCCACCAGCTTGCAACAACAGGAAACCACCATCCAACAACAAGCCAGCAGCATACAGCAACTTGAAGCCACCATCCAACAGCATGAAAAAATGAAGAACTACTGGCTAACAGACTGCAGCAGCTGGAAGCAACTGTTCAGCAACAAGCAAGTGCCATGCTGCAACAGGTTCAGCAAGTAGCCACCAGCTTGCAGCAACATGAAACCACCATCCAGGCACAAGCCGCCAGCTTGCAGCAACAGGAAGCCACCATCCAGGCACAAGCTGCCAGCTTGCAGCAGCAGAAGCCACCATCCAGGCACAGGCCGCCAGCTTGCAGCAACAGGAAGCCACCATCCAGACACAAGCCACCAGCTTGCAGCAACTGGAAGCTACTGTGCAGCAACAAGCCACAAGCCTGCAGCAACAGGAAACTGCCGACCAGCAACTAACAAGTTCCTTGCAGCAACTGGAGGGAACAGTGCAGCAACAAGCCACCAGCCTGCAGCAACAGGAGACTGCTGACCAGCAACTCGCCAGCAACCTTCAGCAGCTGCAAGGAACTGTCCAGCAACAAGCCACCAGCCTGCAACAACAGGAGACAGCTGACCAGCAACTCGCCAGCAACCTTCAGCAGCTGCAAGGAACTGTTCAGCAACAAGCCACCAGCCTGCAGCAACAGGAGACAGCTGACCAGCAACTCGCCAGCAACCTTCAGCAGCTGGAGGGAACCCTGCAGCAACAAGCTATCAATTATGCCCAACAAGCTGCCAGCCAACAAACCTACATCCAGCAGCTGGAAGGTATGTATCGATAGAAATATTGTACACATGAGGCCATTGTAGATAAAAAGCTGCATTGTGTTGCATTCTTAGGGCTTTGTACAAAATATACAAAATGTCCAAAAAATGTCCTCTAAATTATGGCACATTCTTGAAGTTCTTCAGAGCTTAAATATTAGCTTTGCATCTGAAACAAAGCAATACATTTTTCATGTTCAGCTAAAATGCTTGCAGTATCCAAAAGAGGGATATACTAGTATCCATTACAATACATTTTGTACTTTGCAAAAGCTCTGTTGGACAGGTATACTGAAATATGTTTTTTTGAATTTCTTGAATTTTCTTCATTCTCAGATATCCTGAATGCTCCCCGTGACTGCCTGGACCTGTACAACACCGGTCACAACACCAGTGGAGTCTACCAGATCTACCCAGGCGGGAAGGATCCCTTCCCTGTCTACTGTGACATGGCCACTGATGGCGGCGGATGGACGGTAAAAACATCCATCTAACTTTTCCATATAATGTCTCATAACTCATTTTAATTTCAATGCATGACTATGATATTCATTTAATGCATCATTTCTCTGTTGTAGCATCATATGTCCAATTTTCATGCAGGGTTGAGGCAAAATAAGATAACATGACACTCAAATGCTATTATGCTAATAATCTGATATGGCTTTGTCTACTGCAGGTCTTCCAAAGGCGCCATGATGGTTCAGTGAGTTTCTCCCTGCGCTGGCAGGACTACAAGACAGGCTTTGGAGACATCAAGTCAGAGTTCTGGCTAGGTAAAATATCAACTTGATATCATGAATNGTTTCTCCTGTATTCTCCTACTTTCTCCTGCTTTTTCCTGCTTTCTCCTGTGTTCTCCTGCTTTTTTCTGCTATCTCCTGTATTCTCCTGCTTTCTCCTGCTTTCTCCTGTATTCTACCGCTTTCTCCTGTGTTCTCCTGCTTTCTCCTGGTTTCTCCTGTGTTCTCCTGGTTTCTCCCGTATTCTCTTGCTTTCTCCTACTTTCTCCTGCTTTGTCCTGGTTTCTCCGCTTTCTCCTACATTCTCCTGCTTTCTCCTGTGTTCTCCTGCTTTCTCCTGTGTTCTACCGCTTTCTCCTGTGTTCTCCTGGTTTCTCCTGTATTCTCCTGCTTTCTCTTGTGTTCTCCTGGTTTCTCCTGTATTCTACAGCTTTCTCCTGTGTTATCCTGCTTTCTCTGCATTCTCCTGCTTTCAACTGTGTTCTCCTGCTTTCCCCTGTATTCTCCTGCTTTCTCCTGGTTTCTCCTGCTTTCTCCTGTATTCTCCTGGTTTCTCCAGTGTTCTCCTGCTTCCTCCTGCTTTCTCCTGTATTCTCCTGGTTTCTCCTGGTTTCTCCTGTATTCTCCTGGTTTCTCCTGGTTTCTCCTGCTTTCTCCTGGTTTCTCCTGCTTTCTCCTGCGTTCCCCTGCTTTCTCCTGTGTTCTCCTGCTTTCTCCTGTGTTTCCTACTTCTCCTGTATTCTCTTGCTTCTCCTGTATTCTCTTGCTTCTCCTGTATTCTTCTGCTTCCTTTCCTACTTTCTCCTGTATTCTCCTGCTTTCTCCTGTATTGTCCTGCTTTTTCCTCCTGTCTCCTGTATTCTCCTGCTTTCTCCTGTATTCTCCTGCTTTCTCCTGTGTTCTCCTGGTTTCTCCTGTGTTCTCCTACTTTCTCCTGTATTCTCCTGCTTTCTCCTGTATTCTCCTGCTTTCTCCTGTGTTCTCCTGCTTTCTCCTGGTTTCTCCTGTATTCTCCTACTTTCTCCTGTGTTCTCCTGCTTTTTCCTGCTTTCTCCTGTATTCTCCTGCTTTGTCCTGCTTTCTCCTGTGTTCCCCTGCTTTCTCCTGCGTTCTCCTGCTTTCACCTGCTTTCTCCTGTATTCTACCGCTTTCTCCTGTGTTCTCCTGCTTTCTCCTGGTTTCTCCTGTGTTCTCCTGGTTTCTCCCGTATTCTCTTGCTTTCTCCTACTTTCTCCTGCTTTCTCCTGGTTTCTCCTGCTTTCTCCTACTTTCTCCTGCTTTCTCCTGTGTTCTCCTACTTTCTCCTGTATTCTCCTGCTTTCTCCTGGTTTCTCCTGTGTTCTCCTGGTTTCTCCTGTATTCTCCTGCTTTCTCCTGGTTTCTCCTGTATTCTCCTACTTTCTCCTGCTTTTTCCTGCTTTCTCCTGTGTTCTCCTGCTTTTTTCTGCTATCTCCTGTATTCTCCTGCTTTCTCCTGCTTTCTCCTGTATTCTACCGCTTTCTCCTGTGTTCTCCTGCTTTCTCCTGGTTTCTCCTGTGTTCTCCTGGTTTCTCCCGTATTCTCTTGCTTTCTCCTACTTTCTCCTGCTTTGTCCTGGTTTCTCCTGCTTTCTCCTACTTTGTCCTGCTTTCTCCTGTGTTCTCCTGCTTTCTCCTGTGTTCTACCGCTTTCTCCTGTGTTCTCCTGGTTTCTCCTGTGTTCTCCTACTTTCTCCTGTATTCTCCTGCTTTCTCCTGTATTCTCCTGCTTTCTCCTGTGTTCTCCTGCTTTCTCCTGGTATTCTCCTGCTTTCAACTGTGTTCTCCTGCTTTCCCCTGTATTCTCCTGTATTCTCCTGCTTTCTCCTGCTTTCTCCTGTATTCTACCGCTTTCTCCTGTGTTCTCCTGCTTTCTCCTGGTTTCTCCTGTGTTCTCCTGGTTTCTCCTGGTTTCTCCTGTATTCTCCTGGTTTCTCCTGGTTTCTCCTGCTTTCTCCTGGTTTCTCCTGCTTTCTCCTTCGTTCTCCTGCTTTCTCCTGTGTTCTCCTGCTTTCTCCTGTGTTCTCCTACTTTCTCCTGTATTCTCCTGCTTTCTCCTGTATTCTCCTGCTTTCTCCTGTGTTCTCCTGCTTTTTCCTACTGTGTTCTCCTGGTTTCTCCTGTGTTCTCCTGGTTTCTCCTGTGTTCTCCTACTTTCTCCTGTATTCTCCTGCTTTCTTCTGTATTCTCCTGGTTTCTCCAGTGTTCTCCTGCTTCCTCCTGCTTTCTCCTGTATTCTCCTGGTTTCTCCTGCTTCCTCCCGCTTTCTCCTGTATTCTCCTGGTTTCTCCTGTATTGTCCTGCTTTCTCCTGATTTCTCCTGCTTTATCCTGTATTCTCCTACTTTCTCCTGTGTTCTCCTACTTTCTCCTGTATTCTCCTGCTTTCTCCTGTGTTCTCCTGCTTTGTCCTGCTTTCTCCTGTATTCTCCTGCTTTCTCCTGCATTCTCCTGCTTTCTCCTGGTTTCTCCTACTTTCTCCTGTGTTCCCCTGCTTTCTCCTGCGTTCTCCTGCTTTCTCCTGCTTTCTCCTGCGTTCCCCTGCTTTCTCCTGCGTTCTCCTGCTTTCTCCTGTGTTCTCCTGGTTTCTCCTGTGTTCTCCTGGTTTCTCCTGGTTTCTATTCTCCTGCTTTCTCCTGGTTTCTCCTGCGTTCTCCTGCTTTCTCCTGTATTCTCCTACTTTCTCCTGTATTCTCTTGCTTTCTCCTGTATTCTCTTGCTTTCTCCTGTATTCTTCTGCTTTTTCTGCTTTCTCCTGTATTCTCCTGCTTTCTCCTGTATTCTCCTGGTTTCTCCTGTATTCTCCTGTATTCTCCTGGTTTCTCCTGTATTCTCCTGGTTTCTCCTGTATTCTCCTGGTTTCTCCTGCGTTCCACTGCTTTCTCCTGTATTCTCCTGCTTTCTTCTGCTTTCTCCCGCATTCTCTTGCTTTTTCCTGGTTTCTCCTGTGTTCTCCTGGTTTCTCATGTGTTCTCCTGGTTTCTCCTGTGTTCTCCTGGTTTCTCCTGTGTTCTCCTACTTTTTCCTGTATTCTCCTGCTTTCTCTTGTGTTCTCCTGCTTTCTCCTGCGTTCTCCTATGTTCTCCTACTTTCTCCTGTATTCTCCTGCTTTATCCTGTGTTATCCTGCTTTCTCCTGTGTTCTCTTGCATTCTCCTGCTTTCTCCTGTGTTCTCTTGCATTCTCCTGCTTTCTCTTCTTTTTACTTTATTCTGTTACGTTATTACGTATTTGTAAGGTATCTGCATGTATAAGCACCTCATTTACATACTCGGGACAAAATAAATGGTCCCTTTACCGTAATTCCCAACCTCAACCCACGTCTTACGTGTTCATGGTTTGATCAACGTGAAAGGGACATATTTTATTCCTTTGATATTAGTACAAGGTAGTTTTTTTTATTCAGTTCACTAAAAAAAAAGTAATGAGTAGGAAGTGGGATGGAGCAAAGGGGGAGGGCCGGAGGGGGTACAAGTTTTCCTTCTTCGAGCTCTTGCTGAGCCAGTTTGTACCCGTGGTATTACCTCAACTGTGTAACTTGCGTAATGCTCGTATTTCACATTCCAATATCTCTGTGATACTAGTATTTTTAAGAAGGGGGGGACTTCTTCATGGGGGGACTTCATCATCTCTGTTAACAGTGTCCCCCTGAAACCTACAGGTTGAGTCCAGACTAAGGCTGCAATGTGGCAGGTTTTCCTCAGGACCTACGCACCCTACATCACCTTCCCGTTCGCGCTGGTCATCGGCTTTGTCGGGTACAACTTTGAGAACCTGGTACGCGGCGGGAGGCAGCAG